GTCTGACATTGTTTCTTGAATCAAGACTACAGATGCTCCAACATGATTTCCTCCTAGAGTGGGAAGATGACTGAGATAGCAGATAGCCAGTCAGGAGGCCAGGACTCCCGAACTGCCTGAATGCTGCCCTGTGGCTGCAAAGAATGCAGCCAGGTTAGCCTGAACAAACTTTCAAAAGCTATTTCTACAACTGTACTCTTGAGCCTCTTGGCAACCTTTGGAGCACAAGGTCTTTCCTTTATTCATTCAATAAATAAATTAAAGTATAGAACAAGGTCATTCCTGGAACTCTAACCCAGTATCTTTGTACTGCCTTCACATCAGAATGGCCTGAGTTAAACACCTACCCATCCCAACCTTGAGCAAGAAGTTCAAGAGAGGTTTATTTCTATGGACTTTTCCAGGGGACAAGGCAAATTCTCGAGCAGAGCAAAAGCCCTAGGCTGGGTAGAGTCAGGTGCTGTGCTTATCCTGGTCATCTACTTAAGAGATGATTCTAGCATAGTGAAGTGTGAGGAAGGGCCTTCCAAATAAGTTACTGATGACTTTAAAATCAAGTTTCATTTTCCAAATACTGCTCTCTTTCCTTCTTCCTCCTGCTCCCTGCTCTGTAAACCCCATGTCCCCTGTGGTTAGGACAGCTGCAGCTCCCTAGGGTTTCACCTGTTAGAGCCTCTGTTGCAGCTCTAAGAGGGTGTTATTTACTTCAAAATAGCTTTGCAAACTCATGCACACCAAAGGGGGATAGATACTCAGGGGAGGGGAAGGAAAGCAAATAATTATGTCATAGGGGAAGCAACAGCAAAAGAATCAGAGGTGAAATCCAAACTGAAAAAGGGTTCCCTCAGTTTAACCATCCGCTACTTAATCTTTTCTGGGTAGATGGTGAACTGCCAGAGGGCAGGGACCATACCCGCTGTTTCCTTGAATCTAACCCTGCAATTGTACCCAAATTCTCAGCCTTGTGCTTTACTGCTTTCCACACAGTAGGAGGTAAAGTAAGTGTGATGTTTATTTTTTATAATTTTTTTTATAGAGACAGAGTCTTGCTCTATCACCCAGACTGGAATACAGTGTCATTATCACAGCTTACTGAAGTCACAACCTCCTGGGCTCAAGTGATCCTCCTGCTCACTTGATCCTACTCAGCCCCCTAAGTAGCTGGGACTACAGGTATATGCCACCATACCTGGCTAATTAAAAACTTTTTACTTTTTAAAAGTGGTGCTTGCTATGTTGTGCAGGCTGGTCTCAAACTCCTGGGTTCAAGCAATCCTTCCATCTTGGCCTCCCAAAGTTCTGGGATTACTGATGTGAGCTGTCACACCCAATCTTGACTGCTTGTTAAAAACATATGTTTTCCCAAACCTGGTGAATCCAAAACACTAGAAGAGCAGCCTGGGAATCTGTATTTTGACTAGCATTCCAGCTGATTCCTATCACAGGAGTTGGGGAAACACTGAAAGAACCACACTTTATAGTCCGAGCAATGAGGTTCAAGCTCCAGTTTTGGAATTTCTTGGCTGTCTAACTGGAGTTACAGTGTTCTCATCTGCAAAATGGGAATCATAATATCTACTCTGTAGCATTATTAAAGGGATATTAAAAGCCATTTAAAGAGAATAATGAAGGTCTTGATGTACAATATCTGTTTCCTAAATGTTTGTTTCCCTTTATCCTGAAGACACTGAGGAACTAGTGAAAGCTTTTGAGCAGATCATATCCAGATTATTGCTTCAGTTTCAACCCCCTCTGCAACACCCAGCCAAATGGTTGCCCAGCCTCTTCTTTAACACCTTGAGTGACAAAAGATCGAATTTACTATATCCGGAAGCAGTCCTTTCCATTTTCTGACAGTTTTAATCATTAGCTCTTCCTTTCTTATGTTGAGCAGAGATCTGCTTTGGGTGACAGAACAAATCTAATCCCTTTTCCACATGATAGGGTGAGCCAATTAACTTAGATAAGGAAAGTACATGCCGCTTGTTTGAGGAACTGAGAGGGCAGTTTTATTTATGCACACATCCAGCAAGTAGTTGATATGCAGGTGTGTAGCTCAGTAAAGAGATCAGGAATGTCATTTATACGACAGGATTTGAAACTGAAAATAAATGGCATTGCCATTTAGGGGAGCAGAGCTAATGAAAGGTATTAAGGAATAATGGTAAGCAGGGTAGGAAGAGAACCTTTAAAGAAGAAAGCAGGTAATTCATGGAAACAAATGTGGTGAAGAGGTCAGAACAATGTCAGAGAACCAGTGAACTAATCACTAAATTTGAAGACTAAGAGGTCACCCACCGATCCCTAACAGAGAGTCAGGCTTCTGAGAGCTGCTCAGAGTCAAACTACCACACCGAAGAGCAGATGCATGCTTCCTTTCAAGCTAGTGAAAGACAGGTGATTTGATGCAGCAGCAAGTACTCCAACATTTCCAACCTGGATGTTGAGATAGGTTTCTCAAATAAGGCTCCCATGCTCTATCTTTTGGGGAAACACTGACTAGTACAGTCCTTCCTGGAGATTAATCACAGGAAAGAGCCCCGTTTTCCTCTGTTTAAGCCTGCATTTGCACAACTTACTAAACCACTGATTTTTCACACAATACTGATTAGTATCAAGGATCTAGTGTTTTCTGGCAAATAATCTGGCAAATGCAGTAAGCAAAAAGATATAAGACAATAGTTTATGAGACTATTGGTATCTAGGGATTTTTTTTTTATGTTTAAGAATAAAAGCAGCTGGCCGGGTGTGGTGGCTCAAGCCTGTAATCTCAGCACTTTAGGAAGCCGAGGTGGGCAGATCACGAGGTTAGGAGTTCGAGACCGGCCTGACCAATATGGTGTAACCCCCTCTCTACTAAAAATACAAAAATTAGCCAGGTGTGGTGCTGCGCCTGTAATCCCAGCTACTCGAGAGGCTGAGGCAGGAGAATCGCTTGAACCTGGGAGGCAGAGGTTGCAGTGAGCCAAGAGCGCGCCATTGCACTATAGCCTGGGTGACAGGGCGAGACTCTGTCTCAAAAAAAAAAAAAAAAAAGAATAAAAGAAGCTTAAATATGTTTGCGTGCTGAAGAAAAGGAACCAAGTGTAGAGTGAAAGGCCAAAAACAGGAACAAAGGGGAAGCGAGCAAGCCAGGGTACAATAAAGGGGTTAGCTTAGCAAAGGACCTCAGCTCAATGCTTTAGCCATAAGACATTAAGTGCCCTGATTAAATCTAGTGATCACAAATTGTTACTATTTTCCTAACCACATCTACTTTCCTCAGAGGATACAGATATTTATCTAGAGAAGGTTACAGGCAGATTATATAAACTGATTCACTAGAAGCAGTCATGGTCTCCACCCTCCTCCCCAGAGGTAAGCTGAATGTATCCCTTGCCTGGGCCAGAGAAGGGTGTTCCAGATCTGGAGCCAATGTCCCACTCCCCCTGCCCAGGCAGAGAGAACTGTAGCACAGGATAGGCAGAGAGGGGAAATCTAAAAATAAAGCTCTCCAAAGAAACTGTCTTGCCTAAAGAGCAGCTTCCCACGCACACTGGAGTGCCACATCTGCGGGGGCTGGAAGCATGGAACGGAACAATCCTGACCAAGTCATATAAGCATTACCCATTTTGGGGGGTCGACAGCACATCTCTTATTTTTCCCCTCAGCACCCCAGTATCCAAGCTGCAGACTGGGAGCAAGGGCTTTAGTGACAGAAAACAAAACTTTCTTTTTGTGGGGATTGGGAAAATGACCAGCCCTGCCTTCATACCATTCTTCCTTCACAGCAGGAAGTAAGCATAGCAAATGCTTTCAATACACAAGGAGTGGAGTTGAGGATTCACACTAGACAAGATCGTGGAGGTTTCTAGTGAGCTTCAGGCTCAGAGATGGGCTCCCTCAGCTCCACTCCCTGCAGTAGAGTCAGGGACCACCAACAGGGGAAAAACAAAAGCAAACACCATGAGAAAAAAAACTTCAGTTAGCATTGACATCCCTTCGCTTTTGTCAACTCACACCCCAAGGACAGAGCAGTTATCACATTGCCAAGCAACTAGCAAGTACGACTTCCTGGCCAGGTATCAGAGGCCACCAGAAAAAAGTTCAGCCCAAGAGTTTGCTACAACCCCACACCTAAGCATTAAACACAATGGAAAGCAATCCCCATCACCTTTCTCTCAGGGCTTTAACCTTGGAGAGATACAATGTACTTGGCACCAGATTTTGGAGTTTTGCCAAGATGCCAAAGCAGGAAGAAGGAAGCTATCCCTAATTCTGTGAGGAGTCCACAGTATTCTCTTGGCACTCCAACTCCCCAGGAGGTTTGTACCTTGACCTGACAAAGTATCATACTATGCCTCAAGGGTCAAAGAAGCTCAACCTCGAAAATATCTCAGAATAGCTTTCAGCAGCAATACACTCTGCGCTACTATCTGTTCCCTCCACCCCTCCTTCTTCCTAGGTCACATACACTATTCATCCCCTGATTCATAGATACAGCAGACCAGTGCAGCGGGTGGTGAGGGGGAATGGAATCACGATAAAACATCCAGAATGCAGCAACCTGTCAGTTCTTTGGTCTTTTAAAAGAGACCCTTGTACAAGAACACTGTGATAGTTGCTATGCTGAGACAGAAATCCTGATGTCTATTATGCATACATGGAAGGGGATGGGAGGGTGGCAAGTTTCCCCTCTAAGCACAGATTGTAAGCAAAGTAGTTTGAACATTTGACTGATATTTGAATGCTGACTAGCAACAATCACCCAAGTCTTTTACAATTAGAGCAAACTGAAATTTTCCCATACTGAGTCATTCACGAGCAAAAAAGGAAGAAGCCAGCTCACAAAAGGGAGGAGATACTGACCATAAAATACACAACCTGAGCATACAGTAAAGAGTGTTATTTTAGTACTGGGAGTACATACTCCCTAGCCCACTAGTTAAATAAGAAGGGCTGGGTTGGCATGGAGCTCTCCTCATCTAGCACAAGGCCTAGTGCTCTGAAGGGCAACTTACCTGACATACAAGGACCTCTTCTCACTTGTTCGGAGGGACCCAGACCCAGAGCTCATGCTGCTGTTCATCATTTGTTCTCGCAAGTCATGTATCTTCGATTCAAAGCGACTGTATTCTGTCACAGAAACAAGGGAAAAGACAGGAAAAGAATGAACTCAAGGAGCTCCCCTGAGTTTGCACGCCAGCAGCCAAAAAAGCCAGAAGGCCCCTTGGCTTAAAAGCAGCCAGAGCCAGCCCATTCAGTCTTTGCTTTGATAAGCAAAGTCCCTTCTCCTAAGCACAGAAAGACAAACTTCCCTTCATCCCCAAACTAACAGAAGGAAAGAATGCACCTGAAAAGGGAGTAGCATTTGGGCATGTCAAATGCAAAAAGCTCTTATCTGCCTCAAAAATCTCACTGATCCTTTAAAAAAATAACAACTGGAAAGAGGTTCCAGTGCAACCCTTTATAAATCTTTAGAGCCGACACTCAGGCCCAAGGAGAGCAGATGGGAAAGGAGACTTTCCCAAAAAGCGGATTGCAGAGAACAGATGGTCCTGAGACGCAGAGCAGAGGGGCTGGAAAGGACCTGAGGCCATTATATCATTGTTAGGCAAGAAGACAATTTTTTCAGGATGACTTTTTTGGCCAGGGTGAAGGGGGGTGATATTGGAACCCAGTACAGAGGTAAAAACAAACAAACCTCACAACTGTAACTACCCTTATGAGGAGAATTAAAGCTCTCCTGAGTTATTTCCCTTTTAACCAATAGCCTCTTTGGCCTCAGTAACATACATTAAAACATAAATTCTCCCAAACCGAGAAGTCAGCTGACACCTCTCACCTCCAAAATCATCTAGTCAGTGAGGTCGTAAGTCCATTCCTAACCTTATACCCCATTGAGACCATCACAACAGCCTGAAACAGCCTTATCACTCTGGAAATGTAATACAGGTTTATCCCCAATTTAAGAAAACCTGATATAAGAAAATTAACTCTAGCTGTACAATTATTATAAAAGGCTTTTCGTATGGCTGCTTTGCTGTGACATTCTCCTAGGACACTTAAAATACAATATTCACACTTACCACACACAATTACACATCTTTCAGGCCTATAATTGCCACATAAAACGGGGTATATCTAAGGCCACAGGCTGTGGAAATGCTAGAAAACAGGCACACTTCACTATGACAAGCTGGCTTTAAAGGAAGTCAAAATTTATACTAGGGGTTGAAGGTTGGGAAACTGCTTTAAAAAACACACTTCCAGGGGAAAAAATTCCACAAAAGCAATTTCGTGCACCACAGAGGGCTGGCAAGAAGCATCCCCACCTAGTCCGTATGACTCTACAGGAGAAAACAAAACACCTGTTCCAGCACCTGACACTCCCCTTCCCCAGCAAAGCAACCAAACTGACCTTCATCTAGGTGTAAGGGGAAATGATAAAGCCTAAAGGGGAAGAAATGGAGCCCTAAGTCAGGCAAATAACCTCCTCTCAACAAAGCTTCTTTTGTTCACTGTGATATCAATTTTAACCAACTGGTTAAATTAGTGTGCTCTTTCATTCATCACACACCGGTGTTATGGTGATTTGTCCTCATTACCTACTCCTGTTCCTGAAATCCTGGAGGAAGCAGTTAAGTCACTGACTCACCCATTAAATGTTGCAGCAGGGGGTAAGAGAGACAACAGCTGGACAATGTTCCTGTTCTGAGGGTTACACGGCAACCCATCAATATCAATGAGGTGCCCTAATCTAAAGGTAGGGGGTAGTGACCAATTTGTCACAGAAGCCCTGAACTGTCCTAGAGCACAGCAGCAGGCCAGTCCACCTCTAGAGACCCCCTGGGCATGGGCCCCACCCCAGGGTTCGGTCCTGTGCACTGGCTGGGGATTGTTTCTCATCTGTTCCTTTCTGGCCCTCCTCTGAGCTCACCGGCTATTGGGCAGAACCATGTGAGACAAAGATTTCTGAACAAGCAGCCCTTTATTAGGGGAAGACAAGTAAAAGAGAGAACTATGCATCGAACTGAGAACAAAAAAGTACACCGAATCTATCATGTTTTTCCCTTCTTGAAACTTGTTTATATATTCCCTTCTTTGGAATTGACTGCCCGCTGAACTCCAACTTAGCAGCAGGTCATGGCAGTTGCTTAGTAACTACATTTCTTTAAAAATCCTTTAAAAAAACAACCACCAAACCACCATTTCCTCAAAGCTCCTAATCCAAGGCTGATAATTCTGGGCCAGAGGGTCCACTTAAAATAGACTACAGAAAGAGAACAAAGCTATTGCTTTAAGGCATCCACTTTTTGTTTTCGCATGTGCTACTAAAATTTCAAGTTTATTAAAGTGTGTTTTATTCACTTTTTTTTTTTCCCCATTTGGATGATCCCTTTAGAGTTCCACCTGCCCATCAGTCTCTGACTTCTATTTGTAGAGTTATCCAAAGTCTACTAGGCGGAGCAGCGTTTGAATAAATAATTGTTGGGTAAATGAGGAGCAAATTAGAAAACTATGTCCAAGTTGACATTTCTATTCTTAAACTAATAAACCTAATGGTTTAACTGATGGCTGCCAGTTTCGTTGAGGGCTTAGAAAGGTAGTTAAGAAGCATTCACATTTACTTTTGTTCCCAAGGTTAACTGTTGGGAGCAACTGGGCTTTATTATTTTTAAACACTCTTTTGAGATGTTAACAATGAACAATGGGCAGCTGATTAACAGACTTTGTATACAACAAAGAAAAATCATTCTAACAAAAAACTATTTATAATAGACTTAGATACTATCTCATCTTAAATATTAGAGGTATCATTTTCCCAGGAAAAAAGCTTCCCTTGAAAAGCATCTCAATTCTAAGACTTCAGGACTCGCCAAGCTCCCTCCTTCCCTCCCATTTGTCACTAACAGAGCCTTCGCAGCCAATGCTGGAGAGCATCTCCTAGGCCAAAGTCACTGCCTAGGAAGCCCACCTGACCAGCCTCTAACCCAGAGGGCCCACTTCAAAGAAGCAACAGTTAATAGTATACTAAAATCTCAAGTCTACTAAACTGCTCTTTATTTTTTCCCATTCAGATGAACCCAACTGTTTGTGACCCACAAAGATATCCATACAGTCATCGCCCTCTTTCCCTTTTCCCAGTTGCTAATCACAGAGAAACAAATGGGAGGGGGCACAATCAGAAGTCAGTACCAAAGAAGGGTTTTGCCCTAGTCATTGACCACCTGGGAGGCCTATAAAATATCAGGATTTGGCACCCCATCGCAGATACACAGAAACAGAACCTACTGAGCCGGGGCCCAGGAATCTGCATTTTTAACAAGCATCAACGTGATTCTGATAAAGTTTGGAGCTGCTGGTCTTAAGCTACAGAATTGGATCCTGCAGTGTCTTCTCAAAAGAAAGGTGGGGCCAGAGAGTGGATAAGCTCTCAAAAATAAAATTTGGCAATACAATTGCAAATCCTTCAGGAAAGGAAAGCCCTAAAAATGCCACAGTCCTATGTGCGTGCGAAGAAAGCTGATGAGTTTACACTTTTTAAAAATTCTGTATCACTTCTCCAACCCACTACCCAGAAGATACTACTGTTGGTATTTTTAGTATGTGTCCATCCAGACTTACTTCCATGCATATATGGTTTATATACATGCACTCAATTCACACACATGCTTTTTTCATTTTCTGATACATCATGAAAACCCATCTATGTTGGCCAGGCATGGTGGCTCACACCTGTAATCCCAGCACTTTGGGAGGCAGAGGCAGGCAGATCAGTTGAGGTCAGGAGTTCGAGACCAGTGTGGCCAAAATGGTGAAACCCATTCTCTACAAAAATACAAAAATCAGCCAGGCGTGGTAGCGCACACCTGTAATCCCAGCTACTCATGAGGCTGAGGGAGGAGAACTGCTCGAACGCAGGAGGCAGGGGTTGCAGTGAGCTGAGATGGTGCCACTGCACTCCAGCCTGGGTGATAGAGCAAGACTCTGTCTCAAACAAACAAACAAAAAACCATCCATGTCAGTAAACAGACCTCATTTTAATAGCTGCATAAGATTTAATACTGTGGACAGACCATAATTTATTCAGTCATATTCCAATTGATACACATTTAAGTTGTTTACAATTCTTAATATTACAATCACTGCTACACTGTAAATTTGTGGGGTTTTTTGTTTTTTGTTTTTGTAGAGATGGGGGTTTCACTAATTTACCAGGCTGGTCTGGAACTCTTGACCTCAAGGAATCTACCCGCCTCAGCCTCCCAAAGTGCTAGGATTACACGCATGAGCCACTGTGCCCAGCCTGCACTGTATATTTGTTTGAGCATTTCTGTTGCATAGATTCTAGAAGTAAAACTACAGGCTCAAAGTATATTCAAATTAAAATTTTTGATTGGCACTACCAAATTGAACCCCAACATTCTGAAACCTTTCTGACTGAGGATAAACTGCTATTCCAAAGCTTCCGGCACTTTTTCTGCTTCTGAAGTAAAGGCAGAATTTACCTTTGAGGACAAACTGATCTTTTGTTTGGAGAAAAACACTTTAATGAGCCTTTTGGTTATGCAAAAGTAAAGACTTTATTCTGGAATGGACAAAGAGGAGCTAAAATGTTCTCTGCATCATAAAGGAAAAGGTGTCCTCTTGGTGAGTAGAGTTGCCTGTTCTCTAGGTTAGGCCTCATTCCACTGGTCTTTCTCTTCCTCTTTCCCTGGCCCAGTTTAACCATGAGTTAAGATGCTTTTCCACCTACATGACACTATATCTACCTCTAGAATTATCTGCCTAACTTGATCACATTACATCTGCCTCCAACTTGAAAACCAAGCCTTTTTTTCCCTCATGCCAAACCCCCATTACTGTAAATGACACCCCCTTTTCTCTGCATACAACCAGTGTTTCCTCAAATTTTGCTAATGTTTCTTCCTAATTGCTTCCTCAATCTATTTCTTTATACCTTTCATTGTCATTGCCTTACTGTTGATTTCGTGTCTTAATTTTCCCTTGACTATTTTATTATCTTTGGGCCACTGCTGTATCTCCCTAACTGGTCTTCTTCTGCCCCAAGGCTTTATTTACACTTGATCTTAGCCAAAAGGCCGAGAAGCGATCCCAAGGCTTTACAAACT